TTTTTTTTACTTGATTAAGTAAACTCAATTAATTATGTCAGTTCTAAGTGTTGTTAATATTACTGTATAATCTATAACAACTTTACAGAACTTACAATATTTGGAGTCACCGATTCAAACTTTACAAACATACAATTCTTTAATGATGGAACCGAATGAAATTTCAAAATCGCAATTACCATGGTATTTTAAAGGTAAACATTTTATTTTCTAGTATTAATGTAACACGTATAAAAGATACATAACTGCAGATGGCGATGGATATTATYTAAAARATTATTAATGTAKAAAATKTATGAACCAAACTTGGCAAGAAAATAGTTTTAATTTTGTTTTACCAACTAACATAATATGATGTTACGTGTTTATATWTTTATCAGATGGCTTACGGAGGCCGAGCAGTGCTAAAAGGAATACAAAGACTGTACAAAGAATTACACAGGTGTGGCCTAAAGAACAAAAAAACGGTGACCGCATTGAAAACCAACTRATGTTCATACCACCTAACTACCGATACGACGATGAACCGAAAAAAAAAATTTTACTTTACAATGGTTTAAGTAGTTGGATGATAGAAGATGGGCAGAATGTATTTATCTCGCAAAAATGTCCGGTAAATAGATGCACAATCACTTCGAAAAAGTCAGAAGCTCCAGATGTGGACGCAATTTTATTTCGTGATCATTTCTCACATCCCGGTCACAGAAAAACTGCTAAACAAGTAAGATCATCAATTATAATATATAAACCGTGCAACCAGCTATATACGATTATGCGTATATAAGACGTGTTAACACTTAACCGCAATAATATTATACATATTATACGGATTCTAATCAGCTGTAGTACCAGTATAGTATAATATATAATAATTAAGGTTTTTTGTAATAAAAATTTTTTAAATTTTTTATTCCTTATAACTATATATACGTGTATATATTTATATAATATATATTATAATTTTATGAAAACGTATATAGGTATGCTATGGGTGGGCCTCAAATATTTTTTTACAAAATTAGTAGTCCGTGAAACTAAAAAGGTTGGGAACCGCTGATCTATAACTATAAGTCTATAAAATACTATAATTTCAATAATTATCATAATATATTTGTAAAATAGATACTTATAACGTATTTAACATTACAGGTATGGATTTTATATTTTCTCGAGTCGCCGTACCATACAGAACTGATCACTTACAATGATGTGTTCAACTGGACAGCGACATACAGACACGATAGCGATATCGTCACGCCATACGAACGATGGGCGTACTTCGATCCGTCAGTGACACAATTTGAACGACTAGAACGGAATTACGCGTTGAACAAGACGAAACAAGTGGCGTGGTTTGTATCAAATTGTGGCGCCAAGAATGGCAGATTACAATATGCCAGGGAATTGGCTAAATATATATCAGTAGACGTATACGGCGTGTGCGGGCAATCCAAGTGCCCTAGATCGGACAAGTGTTTCCAAATGCTGGATAAGGATTACAAATTTTATTTGGCTTTTGAGAATTCCAACTGTCTCGACTACGTGACTGAAAAGTTTTTCGTTAATGGCCTCCAGTAAGTCGTCAATAATTTATGTTTAATGCTTTTAACATTATTAGTTTTTGAATCCCTCAAACGAACCGTATGCCGTGTCAAAGAATAATTTGTAAAAAAACATTTCTGAAAAAAAAAACAGTGTAATTAGAAGCATGTATTTTGAACCGAACAATACCTTACAAATTACCCATATTTAATATTCCCGTTTCCCTACCACGTGTACCGTAAACCACCGGTTAGAACATAGGTCGGCGTCTAGACGCTGCATGCGTCATGTTCCATAGCATTTTTCAACTGCAGATAAACCTTACTTAACTTACTATTTCCTGCTTTATCTGGTACCTTTGAACGATATCAATACTAACCAGTGGCGTAAATGTACGGAGGGAGTTGGGTTACTTACTCCGAAGCCACTATAGTTGGTTTGATTTTTATGAAATGTTTTTTTTAGAAAAAGCTTAAAAATATTCTATTATTGTTGTTCATTTATACATTCATTCAAAAATAAAAAATGAAGTATTATAATTATAATACATTATTATAAGTACCTATTTCACATGTACGAGTATGTTCCATAATTATGCATTGCAAGATTGCGACAATATACCTACGAATCTTATAAAATATAACTTACCTACTACCTATATATTCATCTACTGTATGTAACAACTAACATTAATATACAAGATATTTTATACACAATAGATCAGCTAATCACTGCTTTCGCCATCACTCTTGTCGGGTTAAGACGGGTCGACACGATGGTAATAAAGCGCTATATGCCTACCTATATATTACTGATGAAAAGTATGTTATAAACGAAATTGGCAAAAGAGAAAATGATTATTGAGTTGTATTACATAATTATTTTAGTATACAACATGCTAGAAAATAATTTTTCTACATAATTGTAAGTCGTTAAAAACAATATTTTTTTATCGTTAAAATTTTTTTTATTTTACCTTTTTTAATGATGATATATATTTTTAATTCCTTATTCGAAAGCAGCAGACTTTTTGGTGAATTTCGAGTAATAAAAATCAAAAAATCAAAATAGATCACCCCGTTTACCAGTGGTCGCAAACATACGGACCGCAATAAAAATACAATTTGAACAAAAATATACGACAACATTTTAAAAATGTATTTTTTTTTCAYTGATTATGGGAAACTCGACTTTCATTAAATAACTTGGTAAACTTTCCTATATTAAAACAGTTATCCACAGATAGTAACTATAGTAAAAAATAAATTTCACACATTTTTCTACTAAAAAATTAATTTATGAAAAGATTTGCAGATTTAAAAAAATATAAAGATGATTTTCTATTTTTAATGAGTAATTTTCTAAAAACGTAGAACATGTAAGGGAAGATATTATACTAAATTCAATTAACTCGAGTTAATTTATTTGCAATGTAATTTAGTTTTAAAATCTAAATTTGATACTGTTGGAGTTCCAGAAATTTTTAAATATCTTGGAAACAGTTATCTAAAACTAAAGAAACACTTTTCTTATATTTTATCCATGTTCGGTAGCTCTTATGTGTGTGAGAAATTATTTTCTTTTATGAAATTCAAACAAATCGAAAAGTCGCAATCAATAATTTAGTTTGAGATCACTTTATTATTATTATTATTTTGTTTTTGACTTTATAAATATCTGGGTATTAAAAGGTGTATTTATTCTACCAATCTACCATTAATCGACAAAACAAAAGTTATGATGCGTATTATAAGTTTCATAGCAGTGAATATATAATAGTTTGTGATGACGAAACGGTTTGTTGCAGGCATAACGTTCTGCCAATCGTGATGGGTGGGCGCCGGGAAGACTACGATCGGATTGCGCCCAAGCGATCGTTCGTACAYGTGGACGATTACGAGTCGCCCAAACGGCTGGCCGAGTACCTGCGACAGTTGGACGCCRACGACGACTTGTACAACGAGTACTTCCGGTGGAAAGGCACCGGCGAGTTTATCGATACGAAGTTCTTTTGCCGACTGTGCGCGATGCTGCACGACGACGGCGCGCCGACCAAACACTACAGGAACATCAACGACTGGTGGCGAGGTCAAGGCGTCTGCAACAACGCTATGCCGTGGCGGCGGTTCATCGAGTCACCTTTCGAGGCCGGCGAGCCGTCTGTCCCACAACCGGCGCTCAGAGGCGACTAGCGGTTACCGCGGGCGGCGGCCGCGGCACTCGACTATATCACGGGTCGCTGGCAACGCCGACGCCGCCGCCGGATCACTGGCGAGCCGTCGTCGTCGTCAAAAGTCGACTTCTGGCCACCCGGCGGCGCCGCTCGGAAGACGTTTCCGGCCACCGCGGTGGGTCCGCCGCCGCCGCCTGCACGACCCAAAGTCCGGAAACAGCAGTCAGCACCGGTGCCACCGCCGCCGCCTCACGTACGTATGTCGAACGCTGCGCGGAGACGACGCAGAGGTCGTCGGAAGAACTTTCGCGACGGGTCTCGGCCCGCTGCTGCAGCACGTTCTCGTCGTGCGTAGACGACTCGACGGTATACGACAGATGCATCTAACCTGCAGCTGCAGCAAGTGCACGGCGCCGAAATATCCGTATAATATTATCCTCATCATAWWGTGCGGTATAGYGTATTCGTCAAAACCGATATTTCTCACTGCCAACCCAGCATCACGCGAAATTARTGATATGCAGTCCGCCTAAGCCGATCACATTCGTACTTTAAACTATACGTCCTATATATGGAATAAGTTATATACAAGCGGCTGTGTGCAGGGTCGATCAGAGGCGATCCGATTGGCGGCTGACGAAGGCGCCTCGTTCAATCGACCACCCTCCACCTATCCTGTATTCACATGTCATGAGCATCGATTCGATTCGTTTTGTYGTACAAATAATATGATACTATTGATTCTCCGAGACTATAAGACGACGTCGTTGCGTCAATGCACACAGACTTGCACAAATATCTGTACATTCACAATTGAAGCGTTTCAATAATAATAATGCTATTATTCCATGATGTTGATTATTTGAGTAAAATCTGTTGTCAAAAATCGAAAAAGTACAAATTCGTTCTGTTAAAGTACAAAATACCTGTACATTGTACAATAGAATAATTGAGAACAATTATTTGTCTAACAACAAGTATAAAATTATTTATTTCTGTCTACAACGGATTTCAGTGCATAATATGTTCYATTATAAATATTTTAATATGAGTGATCATAAGAACATCTTCCACTGGTATGATGTTTAAGGAAATTCTACAATATTATATTATTTATAATGTATTTTTAACTAATCAAATTTTATTATCGACTGAATTATAGACATATTTAAACATATTTATTCACTGATATAAAAATCATTTTWCATAACACCGCGTTATATAAATATYATACATTAATTATTCGCGATAATATTTAGAAAATTGTATCAACATATAATAATATACGCATAATATTATTGTTCGTTAAGTAGTATTTTTTCCAATATTACATTGTGACGCTTAGGTTATTATTGTTATTAATACTTTATTGCACAATATATTATTTTATACCTCCTGTGATAACAAAGTGATATTTTTTTATTTACGAAATTAGGCGCAAATAAAGCAAATGTATCATGTATGTAAAATATTTCTGAAATGCTTTTATTATACGATATAATATTTATTATATTATATGTTAATATCTATAATATATATAAAAATAACACATTTTGTGTGTAAAGACTATACTAAAGAATTACTCATGAGGATTTTCTCATCAATACTAGCGCCCATTCGATATAATTTAAAATTACATACTATTACTATAATAAATTACATTAAGTTTAGTGTTACCTATAAAGTTAAATATTAGAATAAACTTTCAACATGGTACTGAAAAGCATCGAATGGAATTGTTTTATTGTTTTTATGTTAAAAAATTGTTATAAATAAAAAAATAAATCTTGCATAATTATTGCATTTAAAATAAATGTATAGTTGTATATATAAATTATTATACATTGTGTGTATTTTGTATCATGTAGTTATATAATTTAT